GGTGTTCGTGGATGTGCTCTGCCAGTCTTCTGCCTGTCTGTCCTACATAGTGTTTGTTGCACAAGAAAACACATGTTCCTTAAGGCAGCAGCTTTCTCTCCTCTGGGTTTGGAAGGTGACAAGCTTCAACTGATAGGGAGGTACACAGAGAAGCAAAGCTGATGCCAGGTCAGCTGTAAGCAAGGCAGGGCGAGCGTACAGAGCGTAGCTTCTGTAACTCCTTCCAATGCCTTAACCGCAGCTCCATTCTGGGTCACGTGACCAGGAGGGAGGTGAGATGAAGGTTTAGAATGAAGCAGTTGTCAGCCCTGAGCCACTGCCCAAAGAGAAACTCTTGGGGATTTTTTTTTCCTGGATGTGTTTTCTCTGCAGCCCCTCACTAACTCCAGCCCATTTTCAAACTCAAACTTCTCTTTGCTGGTTTCTTCCACCAGCCCAAATATGATCCCATTCTGTTCAGTTTTCAGAAGATTATCCTGCTGATGTTTAGACCGACGGAGTCGCCAGTCCTTTGACATCATTTCTAACATTCCATTGGGCTAGAAAGATGTAGAGTCTCCTTCACGTCGATCTGGACTCTTGGTGACTTCATGGACCTGTTCAGGTTTTCTTGGCACAGTATGGAACTGCTTGGCCTTTGCCTCCATTTAGGATGTTTGGTAGCTGCAAATATTTTCACTGAACTTGGGGGGGTGGGCTTGAGGGGGGCTCAGCAAGCCAACCCTAGCTTTCAGGAAACTGAAAGAGGAAAATTGATTGCATCTACTGCTCTCTGTGGTATATTTGCTTCTATTAAAATCTATTTGGCTCTCTGTCAGTAAAAGAGATACCACCAAGGAGGGAACTACACTTCCACCAAAACTGGCAGGGCAAGCTACTGCACATAAACAAGAAGCAAATCCCACACTCCCTTGCACTGATGATGCTACCTAGTTGGGTAGTGGAATGTCTGCAAACAAACAACAAACTCAGAGAGCACCAAGAATTCCACAGAGACTACAAAAACAAGATGTCTCCAATGAAAACTAAGCTCTGAAAGAACTGAGCAGTATTCAGGGGCTTATATTATTTTAGTCTTGCTGCTCCTCCTTCAGGCACAGAAGCTGGCTGGGTGACTTTGGGCCAGTCACTCTTCCTCAGCACAGCCCACCTCACAGGGAGTTTTTTTTGGAGAGGAAATAGGACAGAGGAGCATTATCTATGCTGCCTTGAGCTGGTCAAAACAAAGGCAGGATATAAATCTAATAAATCAAGAAAGAAGCAAGCCAGCCCATAAATAACATTGCATTGTTTGAATGTTGGATTCCACGCGGGGCACTCTGTTACAGATTGGCCTGTCTTCTATGGCTGCAGGGAGGGAGCGTCCCATCGCATCAAACTCTTTGGCTCCGATATCCTCTGCTCTGACTGGCAAGATTTTCTTGAGTCCTTTCCCTCTTTAGACAGAGAAGGAGGTTTGCCCTCACTTGCTGCTTGAGCTATTTTTAGTTGGGCGAATCTAAAGGCAGTGCATATGCATTCTGAACAAATGAATCAGACTGAAACTGAATCCTGCATTTCTATAGTATGCTCTAGGGGGAGCTCTTGATTAATTTTAGACTCCCAACCCTAAAAGACAATTTTGTGAGTGACTTGCTTCACTTCTGAATGCTGGTGAATTTTTGACCATTCTCCTTAGACTGTTATGGTCCTTTGGTGACAGAACTGGGTTAAGGCTCAGCAGTGTAACTGGCCGTTAAATTGAGTTGCTCATACATAGCTTGGAGTGGTATACAGGTAGTCCTCATACTGACTACTCATTCAGCAACTGGTCAAAGTTATGACGGCACTGAAAAAGGAGATTTACGACCGGTCCTTGAAGTTGCAGCTGTCGCAGCATCCCCGTGATCACGTGATCACGATTTGGGCGCTTGGCAATTGGTGTGCATTTACAACAGTCGCAGCGTCACAACTGATCACCATTTGTGACCTTCACAGCTAGCTTCCAACAAGCAGAGTCAATGGGGAAACCCTCAGGAAGTTGCAAGTTGCAGTCATGTGATGTTGCACTTAATGACCTGCAGTGATTCATTTAATGGCCGCAGCCAGAACTGACATCGTAAGTCAGTGCAGTCATGTGATATTTCACTTAACAACCTCACTTAACAAACTCAGTGATGGAGTTGCCGGTCCCAATTGTGGCTGGTAAATGAGGACTACCTGTAATCCCAAAACATCAGGTTTTAAATGCAGCATGGCTCTACCATTTAACTACCCTGTGAAAGAAAAGAAAGGAACTTCTGAGCATGCAAGGAGTGCTGCTTCTCCAACAGCAGCTCTCCTGGGCCCAGACTGAGATCTTGCTCCTTATCCACTGCCAGATCCTTATTTAACTGGAGGAGTTTTGTATGCTTTCTTACGGAGACTGCAATAACAGACATTCCTTGGCTAGATTCTTCAGGTGGGTGTGCAGCCTTTTTAACTCCAATGCCCAGTGAACATCACTTAGCATAAGCCCATGTAATCAGTAGGTTATGTAAACAATTAGACATTGAGGAGCTCAAGGGAGCACGCATAGCCTTCTTCTGGTAATTTCTGGCTGCAACCATTGCCTGTGAAGGAGCTGAGGGATTGAGTGGCGCAAAGTGAGTCACTGAGTGAGTGAGTGATGTCAGGGTGGACTTGAACCTGGGTCCCACCACCTTAACCATCATATCCTACAGAATCTCATATGTAATCTAAGAACCTAAGTTTTATTCTTAGATTGGTGCTGTGATGTTCCCCAGAAATGAGAAAGAAGATATATAAGAGTTTTTTTCAAAATAGCACAGACATCACTAAACAAAATAATCCCACAGACACAAGTACATAAGTGCATACACATATCCATCACCTCTCTCTTTCTCTCTCCTTTACGGTAAATTCTTTAAGTTTTTTCTACTCTACAGTTTTTTTTAATTAATTTTTCTTACGTAGCATCATTTTATTTAATAATTATACTCTCAAACATAAATGCATACATGCAAATACTGATTTTAAGACCCCCCTTTTTTGTTCAGAAGGCCTTCAAGTCATTCATGTGAGCATTTGGGGCAGTGTTATAATCATAGTTTGCCACTGTCTTTTTCAGAGATTCGTCTTCCTGTTTTGTTTTTTTAAATTCTGTCTAGCCTATGGTCCTGGGAATCCCAGGCAGTTCCCCTGTAATTATTAATCAGGGTTAATCTTGCTTAGCCTCTGAGATCAGCTAAGGTCTGCTGGATGCTATTTGTTAATGTGAAAGATACATAAATAAATATTCATCTGTAGTTTTCAGATGGGTTATAAAAATTAACAGTTATAAAATAGGCTGTTAAATTGCATTATAAAACTTTATGAACAATCTTTCTTAATTTTCCTTTTTTTCCCTCTCTCCTTTTGTAGTGTTAGTTTAGTAACCTGAGCTTACCATTTGTCAGAACTGAAAAGGCAGGCAGAAACCCATGAAGATCTCTGAATGAAACCTAAACAAGCCTGGTTGTGGGGTGGTGCAGAACTTCAAGGAGGCACCCAGTAAATAAAGCACCTCCTTCAAGGTGCCCACCCAGCAGCTTAATTCAAGATGGAGTATACAAAAAATGTTGCCCTTTAAAATATTAACTAAGTTTTAAGAATCCTCAGGAATCAAATAATCAAATAATCCTCAGGTTTGAGATAAAGTTTATTCAGTTCATTATTTTAAGGGGAATTGACCCATTCAAAACTCTGAATATCCAAACTGCAATATGAAATCCTTCAGGTTTTTTTTTCCCTTTTCAGAATTTCACAATGTATTTTCCCAACTGAAATGGGTCCAGGTGGAAAAAAAAATGCATACTTTAAGAAAAACACGCCATTAAAAGGCACATATTAAGGGAAAATGCAAATATGTATTTTTAAGAAATTGTATACAAAAATATATACACGTTTTTATGTGCACAGAAATGCATGTGGATGTTCATGCAGATTTTTAAAAATTCATCCAATTTGCATAGAAATAGAGTGCGATCATTATGCACAAAAGAGCAGACCTAGATGGCCATCCATGATCATAACACACATCCTTCCAACAGTTCACGTCAAGGAGCACTTTCCAGTAAGACTAATGCAGTGGCTCAGATTGATTATCTCCTTTGCATAAAGCCCACACTCCTATTTCATCTTTCTGTTGGCCTTCTCTCGCTATAAGTACTTACCATTGGTGAGTGTTTGCAAGATGGCATCTGCTACACCCCAGATGGCAGGTATTATAAAAAATAGGGCAAGTTGGTTTGGGTGAGGTTTCCAGAGCAATAGTGCTATTATGCAGGCAAGATAGAGAATGGTACCTGTTGGATTAGGCAAAGTTCATGAGAAAACAGGAAAGCACATTGTAATCCACACTTCATGAATTTAAGAACTGCTTGGTTTCATAAGACCCAAAGTCCATCTTACCCATAACTTCATTCCTAGTGCTCAGCTGACTCTGGAAGGAAACAAGCAGGATTGGTCCACACAAGGAACCAATTAGGGTGTCAGCCTTCTAGCTCTACACCTGCACTGAAGTCCAGTGCTTGCGTTATGGGCAATGCGCACCGAGGCAGTTAAAAGCACATCTGCTGCATGGTAATGCCTTACTGTTCTGGGGAACAAGGTTAAAAAGCATCTATTGGCAGGCCAGAGCACATTCCCAAGGTAAACAGAGGAAGTAGGCAATTAACAATCCCTGAAAATGAAAGTGCTTGCTTGTTGATGGCTGATACACTGTGTGAATCCACCTACCATGGTTTGTAAATGATTGTTTATGGTTTGGCACAATCTGTGAACCCAGTCAATTTATTTATTACATTTATTAAACCAATTTATATAGCTGCCCCTCTCACCACAGGTAACTCTGGGCGGTGTGCAACAAAGCTAAAAGCAGTCAAGTACATTAAAAATATAAAAAACAAAATAAAACATAGAATAAAAGGATATTAAAAATAAGGGAGCCACCTCACTAATTCCCCTGTCCCCTGGGGTCCTAGGCCTGCCGGGATCACCAAGTCTTGAGGGACCTCCGGAACTCAACAATGACAAGGTCAACCTCACCTAAGGCAATTGTGCCTTAATCAACAAATCACAGCTAAATATGGTATGTCATCCAGTCACTATCTAAGATGCAGTCCTATGACCACTAGTGGGGGGCATGTGTGTAAACAAAGACAAAATGGTAGTTGTGGCAGTGCAATTGAAGCCCGTTTATATGTGTGTTGACACTGTGTACATGTACAAAAAGGAGGGGTTTTCATCCCACTACTGCTATTGCCATCCTGCCCTTTTGATCTCAAGCTGTAGCCACAGATGCCTATGACAAGTTCCCGGAAAATAAGCTCTGCTGAATTCAAAGTCTTAATTCTGCACAGGAATCTACAGGATTGCTCTGTTAAAATGCACATAAAAGTGAGATCAGTTTTTTTTTTTTTTAATATACTGTATCCTCAAATCCTTTAGGGACTTTTATTCTGCAAAGCAACTATAGTTTAGGGCTGTGCATGTGTTAAAAATGATTTGATTAAAGGTTGTTTAGTCTACAAAAATATGACAGAGGGAAGATAGGATAACAGTCTTCAGATATTTGAAAGACTGTCATAGAGTAGAGGGTTTGGATTTATTTTTTATTGCCACAGAGGGCAGGACTAGAGTCAGTGGGTTAAAACTACAAGGAAGCTGGTTTAGGCTAGACATCAGGAGATACCTCCTGATTGTACAAAGTGTCAGCCAGTGGAAAAGGCTGCCACATTATGTGGCAAGTTCTCCTTTGCTAAAGGTTTTCTAACAGAGGGTGGATGATCATCTGCCAGATATACTGGGTGCTGAACTGGGTGACCTCTAAGGTCTCTTCCTCTCTATGATTCTATGGAACAAGTACCCCAGTTATCACTTGAGCTCAGCATCTCTGTATTATTCTTTAAAGCAGCCTTTTTTCAAGCTTCCACATCTTAAAAGATGCTGCTGTTTTAAGAAGTCCACTAATTAAGATTACTGTAATGTGACTTTAATCAGCATCATTTTCCCAAGGCTCACACTTTAATGAATAGCAGAAGAGTTACACTTGTGCAAGTTCTAAAGCAATTCTTCTGAAACATTTTCAAAGTATGCACAGTCCTAATATCCATTTTTTAAAAAATTAATATCACCTATATGAATAAATTGTAAAAGGTGTACCAGAATTGTTGATATGAGGTCAGATACTAAAATTAACATGCTGTATCGTGATTTCATGAATCCCATAGGTCACACAAATTTCCAGATCACCTTCTCCAACTTGGGAGCCTTCAGCTCTATTACCTCCAGATGGTTTTCTGAGAACTCTTGGAATTACTGACCAATAGTATCAGGTGAATTATAATTCCTGTACATTTGGAGAATTTTTCCATGAAGCTACTAATCCAGCAGATATATTTATATATATAAAACTATTGGGACTGTTGCCTTTTCATCTTGCTAGTGATGGGAAGTTCTCTAGACTGACTATGTTTGTGAGCAATTGCTTCTTAACTTGTATCCTATTCCTCAAAGCCCAAGTCCACCCTGGCCATCACAGTAGATAACCCCCCCAGTTATCCTTTACCTACTCAGTGTAAAGAGAACCTTTCTACCAGTGAACTGGTAAATCTTTCCACACAACATCGAAGCGAGTGAGTTTGTAGCTGAAAAGCAGATCATCACATATCCAACGAAATTTATCCCAAGAGCACAGGTCACATAGGACTAGAAAGAAACATGAGAAAGAGAGAGATGCCCACACAGTTATATTGCTATACAGAACAGAAACTTCAATTTTCTTGTTTGAAGCTAAAGGCCTGATGAATGCTTCGGAGTGCTGGTGTTGAATATTCATGCAACACCTACCTGATCAATAAAGCGCCATTCTCTATCTTGCTACAGAGCCTCTAAATTCAGTGTGCAGCTGCTGTGCAATATGGGTAGATGACCAAGACTTGATCAGTTACTGCAGCTGTTCTCAAATGCAAAAACAATTGAAAAACTGGACCTGGCACCAAAAAGACATAACATACTTGTTCTCAAAGTGGTATCCTCCAGGTGAGTTGTAACTGCATGATTGCTTATCCCTTTGGTTTCTGCCTGTCCCACTCAATTTAGTAGAGGGAATATGCTCAGGGTCCCCTCAGTGAAGCAGTGTCACCTGGCAAGTCCTAGAAAGTGTACCTTCTCTGTCATGATGCCTGGCTTATGGAACAGCCTCCCCCTGGACATCCCAAACCCTTTTGGCCTTCTGGAAGGCTGTGAAGACCTGGCTTTTCCCCCAGGCATTGAAGATGGGATATTAATGGAGCTCTGACATTTGTATGTGTAACATGCTGCTGATGATTTTTTTTTAATAGGGGCCTCAACTTTTTTTTAATTGTTTTGGATTATGTATTATGTTTTCATATTTGTTTACTGCCCAGAGTTCCACTGTTAGATGTGCAGCCATATAAATGTAACAAAGAAATAAAAATAAACAATTTCAACACATTGGAATTCTTAGCAAAGATGGAATTCTTTGGGAATGTTGGCTAGGAATTCTGGGAGTTTTAATCCTGATGTAACTAGAACACACCAGAATGGGAAAGGCTAATGTTGAAATCATTTACATAAGAAATATAATTAATAATGGTTAATTGGCAACTCTGGAAGTTGTAATTCTCCACACCTGAAATGCATCATATTGGGGAACATTGATGTAAAAATGGTTTGCATAGAGAGAATAGTTAACACAATATGGTTAATTGACAAACGCATGGTCAATTCACAATTTATAAGCATCAGAGTACAACACGTTCAAACAGAGGAGGACCACAGGGGGAGTAAATCACTGGTGGCAGAAACATGGCCAAACTACATCACTCACAACCTGTTTGGACCTGCTGTCTACTCAGTTTTCTCATTGCATCATTTTTTTCATGAATTCGTTTCATTTGAAAATGTATGTATGCTTCAGCGTGCATTAGACTGTCGATCCACACCCTTTCAAGCAGGGCATCCTAATGTTGCAAGACCGGTACACATCAGTATAATGGTCTGCACTTGTTCTGCAGAATGACTAGTTTGGCTCTACAGGGGAATCTGCAGGGCTGGCTTTTCCATTAAGCTGGGTGGCAGCCAGGAGCTGGAGGAAAAGAAAGTACCTGCTTTGCATTCCTTTAAATTTAACCTGCTCTTTTCTATAGATATGGGGGATGAGGTTGCTTCTCTTGACAATATGGAACTAGAATTAGAATTAGAGTCATAGAAAATGGACAGATGCACTGTACATCTGGTGGCACATCATTTAGATGGGTTCTCTAGGCCCTTCTCAGGGTCTACTATTGGGCGCTCTCTGCAATTCTGTTGTCAAGTTCTGCTCCTTCTGCATCTTTTCACTGAGCAGCTGAAATAGATTAGATAACCCTAGATTTTACAACCTACCTTATTATAGTCACCAGCAAGGAATCCTTGTTCAAGTCCACTATACATAGTCAAAGGTATCAGGAGACACTGGCGTTTATCTTTAAGATGTTGAAATGTTTCCAGAAAAGTGGATCCAAATGATGATACTGCCTTTTCTTCACTCTCTGCTTGGTTGGTTGAGATTTGATCCAGAAATATAGTGACTAGCAACACAGCTAGAATCTCACTAGCTGAGAAATGAAAGGATGTATTTAAACAAACAAAATTAAAATGATACATTGTTGTTTTTGGAAGAATTGGTGTTTAGTAATAAGGTCATATTACTAGGCCATTAAGTGCCTCTAATTTAAAGCTAGCAGTATTAAAAATGTCTTGCTTTAACCCAAAGCAAAATACTGTAAGGGCACATTTTTTTCCACAATTCTCTTTGCTCAGCTGTGACATCTGTGTTATGACAGCTAGGAGGAAAAAAAAACAACCACCACCACAATCTGCTGTTGCATAAAACATTTCTTACCATTCCAGGTCAAATCAAAGGCTTTACTGAGATTAGCATGGATACACTATCACACATCTGTCAGTATTGCTTCTACTCTAGATGAACTTATTTTTTGAGCTATTTCCTTGCAGTGATAATCTTTTCTGAATTACATGTGAAGGGATATTATACTAAGAACAGGAATGTTATTTTTTATTACATTATATTGTTGAAGGTTGACACAGGAGTAGTCAAATGGATTCAATATAACTACTGAAATCCACAGAATATTCAGAATTTGGTGAGTTTTGCCATTTCTCTGTTCATATTTTGAATAGGAAATGTTACCTTCAGAATCAGAACTACTATGTTAAGGCATAAAATTTTGATCCCTAATATTAGAAATGTGAAAATCTTTGACTCAGTGATTTTGGAGGGTAGCCTCTCCCTATCACAAGCTGTGTATCTCATATTACAGGAATAAAAAATACCCAAACATGTCATATTAACTGTAAAGCAATATTAAACCATATTGCATACCAACCAAGAAATAGTATTAAAAATTATATACCAGTGGTTTTCAAACTGTCTGCTGAGGAACAAAGCTTATCAGAGATTCATCAGGAAGAAGATCAATAATGTTGAATACCCTCCCCTGAAATACACATTGCATATCAATATTTTACTTTCCTTGCAATAGACACCCAAAGTGGGAAACTGACTTTGGTTTGTATTGTATTCTCTATCAAAACCTAATGAAATCTGTGCACAGCTGTCCCTTGTGGTGAGCCACTAGAAAATGAATGTGGCAATTTCTCACTGAAGTGTTCTGAAGTTCTTGATTAACTCTGTGCACCAAATCTGGCCAGTCAATCCACCTAGACCCAAAGAAATATAAGAGGACCTCATATTGTAATTAAGCTCTCATGCATTCCTATACCCTGTGGATATTCTTCTTGACTTCTGGTTTCCCAGTATTCCTTCAACCTGTCCCAATTACTGGCTTGTCCTATAGCTTTTGCTTCTCAGATTCTGGTTCAATTCAATTTGTTGCCTATGCCCTATGCCTTCAGTCCTGGGTGAAGCAGAAATCTAGCAAAGTTTTGTATACTATGAACAGGAACCACAGAATGTGATCCAATATTTTCTGCGATGGACAGATGTTCCTGGTAGAAGGTAGAACATTTCAAACCTCAGTGATTCAACAGTGTTTATTAATTAGAAGAAGAGGAACCAATATAAAAAGGGGGCTGGAAGTAAAAAAAACCCACAAGAAATGGTTGGAGGCATGGGATATGTTCTCTTCTAGAGAAGAGAAGACTGTGGGGAGACATGATTGTTGTTTTCAAGAATTTGAAATGCTATGTAGACAAGGTGGCAGAATTGTTCAAAGCTATTCCAGACAAGAAGGCAAACAAGAAACAATGGATTTAAATTAAAAGGGAGAACTTTTTGAGTGGGTTAGGAAAAAAAACCTTCCGAAAAGTAAGAGGTCTTCAATAATGGAACGGACTGCTTTGAGAGGTGGTGGATTCTCCTTCACTGGAAGTATTTAAACAGAGGCTAGACAGCCATCTGATGTCAGGGATGCTACAGTAGTAGATTCTTCTACTGGTCAGGGGTTTAAGCTAGGTGTCCTCCAATGTCCTTTTCAATTCTTACATGTAGGGATTCTATAAACATATAAGATACTTTCTGATTAATTTTATTATATGAAATATATAAATAGTTTGTCAATCCTGTTTAACGTTTAGGAGATCCAGTTGGAGATCTCCCAATTACTTATATTTGATTTTGGTCAGTTAGTGATTTCCATCGATCCCCATCACTGGCCAACCCTGATCTCTATTTAAGACTTTTCAGAATAGAATACATCTATGCTGTATGCCATTCTGAACCATCTCACAATTAAGATCTCAACATTTTATATATTAATTTATCCACCTAAAAACTTGCCATGATGTTGCTAAAGGCAAGAGAAGCAAATTTCCTAGATAATCTCCCATCAAGGCACTACTTAAACCAGGAACTTAGCTTTAGTAAGGTCCTGCATTGTGTGACTTTAAAATGTGCTCTGATACATTATACATACCAATTATGTACACTTTCCTTCATGGGGTGCAAAAGGTCCCTGGGAGGGCCTACCTGTGTAGATTCCCATCAAAGTATAGATCAAAGTATTAGATGGTCCTTTTGATATCACAGTGCTATTTGTGGTATTTATCATACAGTTGCCTGTACCACAGCACACCAGATCTGCTTCTGTGAGATTTACTAATACATTAAAAACATAAAAGGAAAGAGAAATGTATTAGTGGTCAAAAAATGAAGGCCATATATACAAATGAAGGCCATACAGGTAGTCTTCAACTTATGACCACAATTGGGACCAGAACTTCTGTTGCTAAGAGATGCAGTTGTTAAGTGAGTCGTGCCTAATTTTAAGACCTTTTTTGCCGTGGTTGTTAAGCAAATCACATGGTTGTTAAGCAAATCCAGCTTCCCCCATTGACTTTGCTTGTTGGAAGCCCCCTGGGAAGGTCACAAATGGCAATTGCATGACTCCGGGACATTGCAAATGTCGTAAATACATGCCAGTTGCCAAGGGCCTGAATTTTGATCACATGACTGTGGGGATGGTGTGCAAGGACCAGTCATAAATCACTTTTTTCAGCACCGTCATAACTTCAAATGGTTATTAAACGAATGGTCGTAAGTCAAGGACTACCTGTATATACAATCAAGTCATGGTTGTATGTCAACAGTTTTCAAGCTGTGTTTCAAAGAAATCTAAACTGCCTTGGTGTTCTTATTTCTAATCCAAGCAATATCTCCTTGGCAGCAATTATACTGGGAAACAGTTGTAGGAGTTCAGGAAACTTGATATCTCTGGCTAGAGAAAAGAGGGGCAAAACCCAGTTTTTGCAACTCCTATGCCTTCTCAAGACTGTCAAAAATGGATGATATCCTTTCTTCCCCCATTTCGACGCAGGAAACACATTCAAACTTACTGTAAGATCTTAATAAACTTCACACAATTAAAAACAAATCTTGACTCTTCTTCAGTGGAAAAAATGAGGAAACCTCAGCTCTACCAGTTTGTTCAATACAGCCTCATCCTCTTTGAGCTATTGCCCTGCACACTGTTGCCTTGCCTGCAGCTGCAAGTTGTAGATGAGATGATGCTTATCCACCCCTCCCCCCAAAATTGTACATTCTGTTATAAAGAATGAATTCCTAAGCGGTCTATTTTGTGCATTCTTGTTGCAAAGTCCTTCTCTCTGAATTGCTTTTCCTGGTCCAGACGTTCAAGCAATCATATCAAGAACTTACTAATGGGCTGATGCACGTGTATTTGTGAGTTTTCTTTCCAGAAGCAATAATTGAGCCTTTGAGCAGAGTATGGTCCTTTGAAAGATTTCAAGAGCACCACTAGCAGTTTCTGATTTGTTCCTAACAGTAACATTTGGTCAATCAGTGGAATTTTATCCACTAGCAATAAATCTTCTTAAAATTGTCACTTTGGTAGTGATTTTAATTAGTTCCTGTAACATTCAGTCCCAATCAGTTTCTACTCTTCAAGACCATTTAGCCTGTACTACCCTTACATTAAAAAATTAAATAAAGATTAAAGTAAAAAAAAAAATTAAAACATAGAATATAAATCCGTAGACTGATTCTTTACTGTAAATGGTAGAAACATCATTTGTTAGGGTCCATTTGGTACTTTGTCAGAAGATTAGTAAAGCTTGTGTAAAATAGCATGGGATTATCCAATATGCTAAGCCAAAATCAAGCAAATTATATTACGATTTAAGACAATATATGAACTATATCTGGAATCAGTTATATGCAGGCCCAAGAGGCAGAGTAAGAGGGGTAGAGAACATAGGCTGGCTGTAATGCTCAACAAGAGTTTTAAAAGCCTTAAAACATTTCCTTTCTCATTACATTATTTACAAATGACAGAGGCTTCATGTGTCTTCCTTACTACTACATGTCCACTTAAACATAATTACCTTTGTTAGGAGTCTGGCCAAAGACCAGAGATGATATTAGATTTCCCCAGACTCCAGAAGTTCGGTATATCAAAAAGAAGATTCCAAAATACTGGGTAACTATGTATTTTCCAATTTTCCCCGCTTTCTGAGCATATAAATTGCCAGCCACAGTAAGATAAGTGCATTTCGCTGACCAGAGGGGGGCTCCTCCCAGCCCTAAGATCATAGATGTAGGGATGAGTGTGAACCTGCCAAAAATAGGTAATTTAGTTATTTTTCTGAAACAAAACATAAGCCCGCAATACTTATCATTCCACCAAATTTCAGAGGAATTTATTACTTGTGCTCCCTCTGCAGGAACAAAAACAGAATGCAAGGGAGGCAGATAATGACTCATGTGTTTTGACACCTTCAATCAAATGCCAATTCTTACGCACTTGCATAAGAGATCGTGATACAAGTACAGCATTGAGGCATCACCATCATTGCAGCTTTGGCACCAGAAACTCAAGTGACGCCTACCCCCTATTTGTCTAGCATGACAGGTGTGGCCTTTCCTGGATAGGGTTTCCACAGTGATCTAGGCATTAGTAAAATCAACACTAGGCTTGTGTAATGCATTTTATGTCAGATGGCCCTTGAGAGAGGTTCAGAAGATGCAGCTAGTGCAGAAGGGAACAATAAGTTTGTTCATTGGGGCTTCTTACCATTCATATTTATAATTTATTTCCTACATTTGTAGAGCCAGTTTGGTGTAGTGGTTATGGTATCAGAGTAGAAACCAGAAGACCATGAGTTCTAGTCCCACCTTAGGCACGAAGCCATGTGAGTGACCTTGGGCCAGTCACTCCCTCTCAGCCCTAGGAAGGAGGCAATGGCAAACCACTTTTGAAATACCTTGCCAAGAAAACTGCAAGGACTTGTCCAGGCAGTTGCCAGGTGTCAAAAACTGACTTGAAGGCACACACACACACACACACACACATATTTGTATATCCTCCTTTACATCTGGGAGCTCAAGGCACTTTATCTAGTGGGTCTCTCTTCTTTTTACCTCCATGGCAACAGTCCTTTGAGATAGGATGGGCTGAGAGAAAACGGCTGGCCCAAAGTCACACAGAGAAATCCCAGTTTGAATGGGGTTTTCAAGCTGGGTCTCTCCAATTACAGTCCAACTTTTCAACCACTAAATTGAACTAGTTCTCTCATATGACTCTGCAGGAGTACTTTGGATTCAGTTCCAAAATATATTGTGGAGTGTGTGGGAGCATGAATGTAGAACCTCTCAGCAACTCTTGAAAACAGCTGACTCTTTTCCTGAATTCGCATGGATGCCCTTTACAGCTGCTGTACCCTCCCAGTAAACTGTACAGGGCTTTAAGGAGTTGTAGTTATGTACTGAACTTGCACATCCACAGATGGCTTTTTGGAGCTGAATCCAAAATGCTGCACAGTCCTTATATGTGCGGTCCATGCTGCGGGCTCTTACCAGCTGCCATGCTCATAATTATTGTGGTTAATATATGGTCCTACACAGCCTGAAAAAATGACCTTCTTCCTTTTTTCCACTGTTAGGGTAAACAGATGATCCCTTGCTTATTAGACTGATGTTGGCTAACATTCAGTGAGCAGTGATGGTGGGGGACATGCTGTTTTGTGGTGTCAGGATTTGGAAAGAGCCACACCCTGAGTTCAGTGAGTGTGGCTAATAATGTAAAATAATTCTGCCAGTGATGTTTAGTTGACTACTTCCTTGACCTGATTCCTGGTGGCCAACTACCCTTATTAGTTGTTGCATTATTGTATGGTTTTAACGGATGGCATAACAATATGGAAATTTTGTTTCTTTATATTCTAAATCCCATTGATATTTTTTAATACATGGAAAAGTGATACATGAATATTTTGATAAATACATAACTTACACATTTTCCCCTCTCCAGAGTGTAAGAAAATATGTTTTAATGATAGCTTGGACAGTTCCACGAGAATCATTTTGTTCACGTGAAAAGTAAAAGTGTATTCTCAGGGTTGCGTAGACTATTTCAGTCCATTACTAGAATCTGATGAACATCCAGGAGACGTTCATGAGGATCAGTTTTTTGCACATACAGCTATAAACAGAGAACACTCTTCCACTAGAAATGCCACAGTGCTCAATGTTCAAATGTACATGCTCTCCACTTACACAGATATACTAATAAAGAACTTATTCTCATAAATCTTCACTCATGATTTATCAGAAGTAGGAAAAGTTACATGATTTTCAACCTGTTTTGCCTTAAAGCACCTCCTGTGCATTTTTTCCGTACACTGTGGGTCTTGTGTGAACCCTTCAATTTTTCTTGCCCATAAAGCAAGTCCTGAAGGAAAATGATTTGGATCAGGCCTTGGAGAGCAAGGAAAAAATATAAATCAATACTTCTAGTGCAAATTCTCAAATGCATGTGGCTCCTGTGATCCTGCTACTAGGGGAAAATACAGACACAAAAGCTGCCTGTAACGTGACTTCCACAAGTAAGTATGCTACACTGATTGAAGTATTGCAATAGGCCCTAGGATATTCAAGTTCAGTTCTGTCTTCAGCCATGGATGCTCACTCTTTCTCAGCCTAATCTATTCCAAAAATGTGTTGTGGGAAAAAATGGTAGAGGGAGGGTTATATATACCACCTTGAGTTCCAAGAGGAAAGGCAGGATAGCAGTCTAACCAAATAAATAAGCAAACAAACAGATTTAGTCTATGTGGTTAATAACAACTGTGTACGAGAGAGAGATTTGCATGGGGGAGTAATATAGTGGCAGATTAACTTGCCCTTGTCCTGATCAAAACAAGAGTTTCCCATGAAGACATTGTGAGCTATGGTTCTGGAATTTCCACATCTCACCTACTTTGAGTCTGTCTAATGTAATGAAACACAGGATATGCCAGAACTGCTCTGCTACTATGGATGGATGAATATATTGCCCTCAAAAGATAAGAAAAAATGAGGTTTAGAAAGTTTAATGGTCCAAGTGCAACTTATTTATGGCTCTATAAAGCTGCCACTTTATATTTTTCTCACCTGATCTTTTGTACTCAGTAGAGGGTGGTGGAAATGAAAATATAAGGGCTACATAGCATTCCCCAGGCTAGTGCCCTCTGGATATGTTGGGGTGTCAACTCTCAGATTTCCATTGCTAACATGGCCAACGTTCTGGTTGGAGATTCAAGGCACTGTACTCCTAAGACATCTGGGGGGTACCTGGCTGAGGAAGGCTGAGAAAACATCAGCTAAACAACTCTTTCCCTATCCTTTCCTTTTGAAATGTAATTATAACACCTAGTCATTAGATGGTGCCTTTATTGGCTTCTGCTTGGTTTAAATTGGCTCAGAGCTTTGTTTGCTAAAGGAGATGTTAGTGGTTGCCTCAGCTACAAAAGCAGTTGCCATACACTCTCCAGCATATCTGCTTATTTCTTCTGCTTTTCGGTTCGCTTTCCGATTGCTCGTGAAAAAGGCTGCACGTGTGTGGCGGTTTTGTTTTGATGAGAAACCCTTCACTGACATATCAGAGGTGGACTAGGGAAAAAAGACAAAGACAAAAACAAGACCTCAAACCAGAGATCAGCAAAACCATCTTAACCATCTACAGAATGGCCTAAAGCAACAGCTGCAGTTTCACAGCTTGGAATTGTGGCATAAATCCTGCCCAAATGGCTCTCCCTCAAATCCAAAATTAGTAGGACAATTTGATCTCTGCTTCTCCCAGTGTCTTACTTTAGGTTTATCTGAAAATGATCTCAGTGTGGGTGGAGAGATGCCCAAAGCCAAGCACGGGAGAAGAAGTACACCATAGTCGTTCACCGCAAGCCTGCTCTTCTCTTTCTTCTCTCCTGTTAGGGCACTATTTCGTGCCTTGGTCCCCTATTTCCATTGTCATTAAGAGCTCTATCCAGGCTGAAACTGGTATCATTTTGAGACCTGGACTGACCTCAAAATATTTAAGGTCAAGAGCTCTCCCTTACCTTCTCAACATCTTTGGGGGCTGAGGGCCCCATTTCATTCTTTAAAAACTCCATCACATACAGAGTTGGGTTTTGGCTCTGCTCACTTGCAGACCTTGGCATGTTGTAGAAAACCCAGTTCTGGCCCTCAAGTCAGTGAAAGTTGCACATCTCTTCTGTAGCTGTTCCTCTATTCTTCTTCCCAGCTGCTGTTTGCTAATTCCTCAGGTGTCAGTAATATACATAGCCTCAAAGCATTCAGCTTAGTGCTACCATTAAAAACATTTACTTGTCCTATCCCAAGGTGACTTTCGGTCTTATGTTTTGTGAAGCCCAAACCATCCTATGAACAAATGTCCACCTATTTACTATGTGGCTGAACATTTTCCAATTCGATTAGATCCAATTAGATTTTTCCTGGTGATAGCCCCCTGCAGATCAGTCAGCCTGAAATTATGTCTGTTCCCCCCAAATACATTGCAAATGACATAGGAATTAGGCAATAACTATTACCAGCTGGCATAGAAGTTTCCCAAAGAGAATGTAATATAGCAACACATGCAGCCCACAATGGTCCACTTGCATCCAAATTTCTTAATGAGGACTGATGGGAGAAACATGGAGGACAGGATCAGAGCAGCGTAGATCACACTCAGGGAGGCAACTCCCAGGCCTTCTTCAGAGTGGAGGCTGCTCTGTACAGACAAAATGCAATGGAGGCACATATTTATAACCAACACCAGGGGACAATGATTGATAGAAACAAAGGAAGAGACAGTTCAGCCAGGGAAGTTTGGCAATGAAGCCATGATATCAAACACATATGACAGAAGCATTGTCATCACAAAATGCTGTCTGTGATTACTGTGTCCTAACCTTTAAAGAAGTCAGAGCATTTGGTTGATGATGTCAGCACACACATTTCATCATCCCTCCCGCCAAGGATACCCATGAATTAAGCTTCTCTATTGGGGTATCCAAACACATCGGTCTTTATTGTAAAGAGGAATGAAAATACAATGTGTCTCTTGCCATGGGGCAGTTGTGGAAAGGAAGCAGATTGACCAAGCCCCTTGCCTTTTATCAACCTGCCCATGCTACAATTGCCACCAATGACCGATTAAAGTGACAATGTTTACCCAAAACTACCCCAGCCTGAGAAAGTGAGTTGGTAGGTTCTTGTAGTCATGAAAGGGCAGTAAGCTGTTGGGAATAAATGTTGTTGAACTACACAGAAAGGGGATAGATGCTGAGGATTTTCTGCATTGATACAACAAAAATGTCTTGGTCAGATCACCAGGACCACTGGCCTTATCTTGAGGTGCTTATGATTTATTTCAATTGAGGGTTAAAGCTTTCTTTCATCATGGAATCTCATCTCATCTATTTTAAAACAATGGCATTTTGCCTTTGAAAATCAGGTTTTCCCAAGGCAGCATTCAGTATATTAAAATTACAGATAATATAAATATACATGATCAGGGGAAAAAAATGAAAACAGAGAAATGTGAATAGAAAATGAATTTAGATCTGCTCTGTATAAGGTTGTAGCACAGCTGGCAAAACATCAGCACATAATCATTGTCCCATATGGGATTACCTAAAAGTCACTCCACCAATAAATAAAGTGGTTAGCTTCCGAAGCATTTTAGGTCCATACCAATCTAACCATATAAAAGGGCATATACAATTCACTCCCTCTATATTCTGGAGTATATAGTGGCTAGCATGATCTCATAGATCCAAATAAAGTTCACCTACCTGAAGGTTCTGGAGCCCTCCATAAGCAGTAAAGAGAAATGAGAATCCAAATGAAATAATAAGAATGTTTTTCAGATACGAGTACATGGCTGAGTGATAGAAGTTCCAAATGGAGAAACTCCAGAGACGGGATCTAAGAGTGGCTGGATTCTAGTTTTCCTTCACCTATAACACAAAGGAGTCATATTAGCTATTTGAGTACCTGCCAATGAACTTTGCCTTCTCCAGCATTGAAAATGCTATAGAAGTCTGGTACTGATTCACTTGATCTGAAGTATTGATTGGGATCCACAGAAAGCATATTGATATCTGTATAATGTCTTCCCTTACACCCAATTTTATGAATCATTTCCAGCCACAAGGCAACTTTCCAGATTGCCTTTTTGAAGCAGATCTCCCTTCCTTGCCCACTCACACTGAAGGAGGAGTATATTTTAAGAAACAGGTGGGTGGGTTACAGTTTTAGGTTACCATTCCATTGAAAAGGTCACTTGGAAAGCTGTAGCACAACACAGCACTTACTATTCCCCCAAAGAGTGTTCCCCAAATGGGTGTCTTCCAGACATGTTCGACTGCAGTTCCCATCACTCCCAGCCAGGATATGGGCAACTGCACTCCAAGACATTAGCTATCTCTATATGACAAACACCACACATGTGCTGCTTTGAAAAAGCAGCAAATATTAGCGCACACTTTAAAAGAAGAATTCTTGTGCAACAAGCCAAATTTAACAGATTTGCACAGAATGAGAAGCTGAGAGATCAACAGATATACTGTAGAGTTGAAAGGAAGAAACCAAGGAGCAGCATACAGATACAAAGCAGCATCAAGAACAGACCAAACCGAAAGAAGTGTAGGCAAATATGAAAAACTCAAAACAGAGGCCTTCCTTCCTCCAGGAATAGTTCGTTATATTGTCACTTTGTTGAATAAGCCACAAGCTATGGCTGAAGATAAGTTATAAATCATGGTTCACAAACAATCTCGTATGTAAATTCAGTTAGAATCGCTGTTTTTTTGCCACAGCATGCCTGGCAAAGCCTCCTGTGTCAGTGGATCCAGAACCCACTAGCCTGTTCAGTTTGCTCTGCAGGGGCTGAATTTTCCAACTTCTCGTGAGTGAATCTCTCCAAAGGAATGTGTTGCATCTTTACTGTAGAAATTTGTCAAGGCTGGAAAGTTTTTTCATTTTGTACCAAGCTCTGAACATACCTCAAAGGCCTGTGGTATGTCAGCCTTGACACCCTTTTATTTTTTTCTTTCAGGGCACCTAAGATTAAACTGACTTCAAAGAACCCAGACAGTCTTTGCATTTCAGTCTCAGCTCTTACATATGCAGGGAATTTCAAGAATGCCCACTTGAATGCTTTCCTTCCTATGGCAACACAGGCCTGACACAGTAAAGGCTTTGCTCTGGAATGGGCACTTCTAGCAAACCAAGGAACACCTTTATGTAATCTAGAAAAAAGAAAAGGAAAGAGCCTCATTGCTCTTGGAAGTTCAATCTTCCTTTCTCTAAACTTATTTTAATTTTTCACGAATGGCTTTTGGTTTTTTTTTTTGCATTTCTGTTTAGGTATTCATACAACTTTAACAAACATAACAGTTCAATATTTAGGGTGTATTATCAGCTATCCAAAAGCATGGCTTTCATTCACCTTAATTGCCTTCCATAAGAAAGTTTATGAAACTTTTCTTCAACCCTTTGACTGCATTCCTCCATTGCACTTAGCCAATTGCCTGAGTCTGCACAACATGCTAAGCCATAAATCATGGTTTACAATTATAGCAGCTGCATCCACACATGCTAAGCCAAAAAACAAACAATCCACATCATGGCTTAACATAATGTATGAACTCAGTCTGATATGTTGGTAGCATTTGCTCAATATTATATTGTTAATATAATAATGAATAATGTTGAATCTTAATATCAAATGTATATAATAAAATAATACTATATTATTATATTTATATAATATACTGATATTAATCTTAATATCAAATGTATATAATAAAATAATACTATATTATTATATTTATATAATATACTGATATTAATATAATAATGTTGAATATAATATTTGCTCAACATTATATTGTTATAACAACATTGCTGATGTCTTTTAATTGTAGCTTTTAATATTTAGTTTTTTCTGATGGTTTTTATCATAAGCCGCCTAGAGTCACTTTACTGTGAGATGGGTGGCCACATAAATGTGATTAATAAACAAATAATAAATAAATAAATTATCAGACCTGTGTACCATTGCAAAGATTTGTAGCTGAGTCTGTGATATCAGGAGGTGAATGATGGCTTCTGAAGGAATAATAATCTGCTTTTCTCTCTTTCCCTCTGGAGGTACTTCACAGCATAGCACTGGCTCCCTACTACTTCATATAGAAAGCATGACGGGGAAGGAGTACATGTAGAAGCCAAGACAGATAAACAATCAGAGCAAATGCCATCATTTACTGAAAAGTGTGAACATTTTCTTCTGTGTTTGCACGTTCGTGCTTCTGCACTACTTCGCAGAAAACGAAAGTGAAAGCTCAGTTCAGATGCTATTTTAAATATAAAGACTTTAAATAACATCAGATATTGCATTTAGAGTGGCTTTCAACCTGGACAAAGTCCTCCTGTAGAAAGGCCCTCAGATCCATCCTTTCAGAGCTGGTCATTTCCATTTTCTTCACAGAAGGATCATTTCTTGTCCCTTTGCCCCCTTGCAACATTTCCCCAAAAAGTCTAATTCAGCAGCATTTGGGAGTCATTCAAACCAAGAGTTGCAGTGGGCACTGTTTTTGATCAGAGGCCCATTGGATAAGAAAGGGGATTATTTCCAAACTTCCTCAAACACCTTGAGAAAAGACTGGCAGCTCAGGACCCTCATGGCACTGTAGCTTGTGTGGTAAAAGGAAAAACTGAAACTGCAAACAAAACCATCTTATTCTTCTCACCTCCAATGTTAAAGTTCGTTACTTGCATTGTTGACCTGCTGCGATATCTCCTTTTCTTTCCTGAAGATAATGACTCTCCCCGCCCCACACACACACTTTCATCCCATCAAACAACTAACTATAAACTGATGTTTAACATGGAACATTTTGTCCAAAGCTGAGCCACAATGATTTGTCCTAACTGATTTGTGCCAGCTCTCTCTAGATAATTGCATGCCTTGGCAAACCAGTGAGGACTTTTTCCCCAAGGAAAGTGGAAAGGCTGAGTTGCAAATGATTCCCGAGGTCAGAAGGAAATCAAAACATTGACTCATGCAACCCATCTTTTATACGTCTACTCGCAAAACCTTCAGTGGGCTTGTCGCCATATAAATGTAGGATTTGTACCATGCAAAAAGAGGGCACTATGATATCATTCAGTGTCAGAGTTTGGTCTGGGAAACCAGATTTGATTTTCCATGTCTGCAAGAGATTCACTCAGCTCAGCTCTCTGGCTGTCAAACAGAAACTGGAAGTTGCCACATACAGAGTCATATCTTGATTCATCTGGCCCATGCATTAACTGGCAACAGCAGCTCATTGTTCGAGGAGACGATCTTTCTCAATCTCAGTTAGAGTTGATTGGTTGAATCTAGGAGACACTTCCTGGCAAAGCAGGTCTTATATTAGTAAGATGTGGCATTCCTCCCCATTAATAGTTTCTCATGTGGATGACTGATAACACCTTTTTCTAAATACTGCATGCTGGCTGAGGAATTCTGGGAGTTGAAGTCCAGACACCTTAAAGTTGTCAAAGTTAAGAAACACTGCCATGGAGATAAGCCAAGAATTTTAGGTGCCAAAATACACCCTCCAAATTGTGTTTGGCTTATCCGTAGATGGGCTTATCCATGGATATATATGGGTAGGTTTTCCATTCCCTATTTAAGAGTACCTGCATATCTTGTATATACTTGTGGATAAGCCCATCCGCAGATAAGCTGACCCTTGAATTTTTATCCAAAATACCATGAAAAATGTATTACCCGTGGAGAAGCCAATTGTGAAAATTCAAACATACAAAAATTTTGAGGGTCAGCTTATCCACATTTTTTATGGTATTTTGGATATAAATTTGAGGGTTGGCTTATCTGCAGAAAGGCTTACATGTAATCATATACAATACAACAATACAACCCAAAAGCTGAAAGATATCATTATTCTCATAAAGTAGTCACAATTATCTTGCATCTGCATCAAAAAGTAATTTAAATTATTGCACTCTTAAAATTATTCTTAATATTACTTCATCAGTGTAGATACCACTTTCATCTATGGTATTTAATTTATATTCTGAGCTAATAGCTTCCACATTTGCCTATTTTTAAAAAGTGTTTTTAAGTAGGTGTCTAACAAATGGACACACAGAAGTTTGGTCAGGGCGTCTGGGCTCCGAAAATTCTGTTATCTCCGGCTTGTTGATAAGACCACCATGATAGCTGCGAAATTGACCAGAAGCAGCCTTAAAATGTCAGCCTAAGCAAACAGTTCTGAAGATAAGGCTTAAGAGAAACCTGATTCAGAAAATCAGCTATCTGGACACGCTCTTACAGCTGCCTTGGAAATACTCCCTTGTCATTCTCCAGTTTAGTTCCAGCACCTACAAAAAAGAGGATTTCCACACAGCTTTTATTCCCCATTTGAGATGTTAATTCTCCACTCCTAGCAGTTTTCCTGAGGCACTTTAGTCTGATAGTACCTAATCAGGGTGAAGGCTGATCTTCAGAACTCAGACAACATCCTGTCCTGGAGAAAATCCACTGAACTACAGATATATCAAATTGTATCAAGAGATAGGTAGATAGACTGATTCTCTCTCTCTCTCTCTCTCTCTCTCTCTCTCTCTCTCTCTCCCTCTCTCTCTCTCTGTGGGGGGGGAGGGTGTAAGAGAGAGAGAAAGAGAGAGAAGAAGAATATATGCAGTTTATATGTTTTTACACATTTATTTGATCTCTTCCTCTCTCTCTCTCCTTTTAACTGGAAATAATATCATTCGTAGCACAGTGATAGATCGCACGTTTACATTCAAGGATGTCAGCATGTGATTTAGCACTAGTCATTATCAAAGTCACTTTTCTCTCCCCCTCTGCCCT